CCAGGCCAATTATCCATACCCAACCTTTGGCAACACCTCCACAACCATTTCCAGACCACACCCGAAGACATCCACCTCACACCGATCAACGACGACCTTGTCGGCTTCTTCAACAGCGTACCTCAACAACGCCTTGTCGACGCAGTCATCAGCCTGTGCCACCGCTGGAAAGCACAACACAACACTACTACCATCACCATTGATGTTCAGTCTACCGGCAATCCCATCCAACACTCACACATCGGTCGACACTACATCCACCACCCACAGCAACGCACACTTGACACACAACACATTCCTCTTATCGTTCAACAAGCTCTTCACTCATGCATTTTCCAAGCATGCAACACCTACTACAAACAAATTCAAGGAGCCGGCATTGGCAGTCAGCTCTCACCAGCACTTTGCAATGTGGCAATCACACTCATCGAACACACTTGGCAAACCACATACCACAACTTCTTACACCAACCAAGCCTTCACTTGCTCAACACTCGCTATGTCGACAACCGATACATCTTGCTCAACGAACAATACAGATCAGCACTCCCCATCACTACATTGGCCCATCCTGAATTTTATGAACAACCAGTTGAAATAGAGCCAGTGGACGACGGCCATCTACTCGGTTTCCTGATTGACCCTCTCAACAGAACCGTCACCTTTCAACTCCCCACCCATCCCTGGCAGATTCGTGATCCGCAATCAGCAGGAAGCCACAGGCTACGCCTTTCAGGCTTACAATCACGCCACCACACTCTACAAAAATACACATTTCCATCACATCTAGTACCCACAACAGCACAACAGTTGATGCAGCTCTATATGACAAAAGGTCATTCAAAAGAACACTGCGCCGCGGCGCTGCGGCCGAGGAGAGAGAAAAAGACTATGCGCCGGTATTTTGCAGACTGTCGTTTTGTACATTTCACACTATTGAACTTATTCGCTGTCATGCCCTTCCAATATTTACTATCCAGATGCCGCCTGATCCGATCTAGTTGCGCCGATCCGGCTCTGTGTGTGTGTCCACTCCTGTTTCCAAGGACACTACTCTAGTACTTTTCTAATCTACCCTACGAGCTTTTCTGTACAGAAGCAGGGGGGCAACCCCATGGATGCAGTTGGTTGTCCAACGAAGAGGGCTGCATTCCATGGCTGATATGATCCTGGGACGCTAGGATCACGTACCTGCAATTTTAATACTAATTTTGATTTTCAATCGCTGAGGTTTCTAAGTCAGTGCAACGCCGTCTCATACGTTGTTTCCTGCAGTATCTAGATTAAAAGGGCTAATGCACACCGCGAAGCTACCTGAAATCACGCTCCACGGAGCAACCTTCTCAAGTGTGTGTGTGTGTGTGTGTCCACTCCTGTTTCCAAGGACACTACCCTAACTCTTTCT